AAAAAAAAAAGGACTGTACAAAAATACCAGATTCTAGTTAATGCACATGCTGAAGTGTTTAGAGGGAAGTGTATTAGGGGTGCCTGGCTGGCTCAGTTGGTGGAGCATGAGACTCTTGATTGTGGGGTTGTAGGTTTGAACCCAGTGTTGGATGTAGAGATTACTTAAAAATAAAATCTTGGGGCACCTGGGTGGCTTAGTCGTTAAGCATCTGCCTTTGGCTCTGGTCAGGATCCCAGGGTCCTGGGATCGAGCCCCACATCGGGCTCCCTGCTCAGTGGGGAGTTTGCTTCTCCCTCTCTGCTCCCTCTGCTTGTGCTCTGTCAAATAAATAAACAAAATCTTTTAAAAAATAAAATAAAATCTTTAAAAAAAAAGAGGGAAGTGTATTAAAGTAAGCCTCCTCCTACTTTGAAATAACGAAAATCAGAGAGACTCATTTGGATGGAGTGTTACATATGTGATAAAGTAACTGTAGCAAAATGTTCACCACAGAACCCAGGTGGTTGCATACATGAGCACTCATTGTAGGAATTCTTTGAACCTCTCTGTGTTTGCAAACTTAAGTGTTGGGGTAAAATACGTGTAGATTGCGTCATACAGTGAATGAATGAATGAATGAATGAGTAAAGCCTTAAAGACTAGGTAGAAACCTGCTGAAATACTTTCTTTATACTCCCCTGCTTATATTCTAAAGTGGGTTTGTATTGCTCGTGTAACAAGAGAACATTTTTTTCAAGCAGAAAAATGGCACAGGAGTCCATTGATAAAATTGATAAAATAGGCATTTATTCTGAGGACGTAACGCCATGAAGAAACTCCCCAAGGCCAGCCTGGGAGTGGGCGAAAACTGCTGGCTTGCTCGAAGGGGAACAGGACCTCAGCACTTCTCTGCACCCCCGCCGCTCAGGGAAGCCTGGGCCAGAGCTCGCTCAGGCTGTGGGCCTGCAGTCTGACTTGCCTGCCTGTCACTGCAGGCCCGGATTAGTGTGTCCCATGTCCCAAGAAGCCAGAGCGTCAAGACAGGTGACAAAGGAAGTCGTGCAGAGGCAGGGCCAGGAGCCCTGACAGGGAGATTCCCAAAGTGTCGGAGATACAGGCGGCTGCCATGGCAAATTCCCGGTGCTCATCACTTGTCTGCAGAGGGCAGGAAGCAGGGGTGAGGCTTCAGTCCTAGCCGCCCCAGCCCAGGCCTTCCCCAGAGAGGCCCTCCGCGCCCTCGCCCAGCTGGTGCTGACCTCCAGGGCGATGTTGTGGAAGGTGTTCACGTAGGCAGCACCTCCGAGGAGCCCCTCATACAGAATGATCAGGAAGATGAGGTAGATGCTGGGAAGGAAGCTCAACCACACGTCCACCAGCAGGAAGGCCAGGTTGAAGCACTGGGAATGCAGGTGGAGGGGAAGGCTGAGCCTGGGACCAGAGGCTGCGATCCCATCCAGTGGCCCCTGGTTCTGGGAGACGCTGGGAGAGGGCTGACAGGCCCGGATCAAATCCCAGCACCCAGCTAGCCTGCCGGACCCTGGGGTCTGGGGTAGGCCTTCACCCTATCCCGTCCCAGCACCCTACACGTTGTAGGTCTCTCTCCCAACCTCGCCTTGGCTCATGTCGCTCCTGGAACGCTATTCCCCTTTCCTCACTTGGGATCTCCCAGTCACCACTGTTTGCAGGTCAGCTTGGATCAGGACCCCTCTCCTGGGCTCTCATGCCTCCTCCCAAGGGCTCCCTGAAGAGAGAGGACCACCCCTCTCCCACCATTTTACCAGACTGAGACTATGGGTGTTGATGAGTAGTTCTCAACTGGGTGTGATTTTTGCCACCCAGGGTGACACCTGGCAATGTCTACAGATGTTCTTGGCTGTAGCAAGTGGGGAGGGAGTGGGTAGAGGCCATGGATGCTGCTCAATTCTGTGGTGCATGGGACGGCCCCACAACAAAGAATGATCCAACCCCAAATGTCAACAGTGCCGAGGTGGAGAAACTCTGGCTAAGGCATTCTCATGTCTTTAAGGAAGACTCTCTAACCCCACCCATGGGAGTAGGTCCCTCCTCTGTGCCCCAGTCCTTCAGAGGACCCCAGTGTCTCAGGCCTGAGCGCACAGGGTTGCCTCCCCAGTGTGGAGGCCGCCATGGCGGTTCGCATGCTTGATGCACATACAGATCACCTGGGCGTCTCGTGACCCACATAGGCCTTGCCCTCGAAGGTTCTAATTCGTTAAGTGTGAGGTGAGCTCAGAGATCCGCACTTAAGAAAACACATCCCAGTGACGCTAACGTGACTGACGACACCCTGCCAAGGCTTCTGTCTGTAGCATGAGGCCAGATGCCTTCTGTAACGGAATTCTTTCTGCAACGATTATAAGCTGCTAATTCTAAGGAGCAGCCTTGGTTAAAATTACAGCGAAAATCCCAAGCTCCCCATTTCGGTGGCTTCTAACAAAGAACCCTGAGTTCAGAATTGTTGGCACAACGATTCGGGGCTTTCGGGGCACAAGGCCGTGGGCTGGCAGCACTGCTCAGATAAAGAAGGGAGAAAACTGGACATTCACAGGGCGCTGTCATAACACTCAAGTGCAACCTATACTTGGTCTATATCTTGTTATCCTAGAATTGGAATCAGTTTATTAAAAAGGACTTTCCTGGACTAATGAAAGGTTTATTTTATTTTATTTTTTAAAGCAGGGAGCCTGACGAGGGGCTCGATCCCAGGACCCTGCGATCATGTCCTGAGCCGAAGGCAGACGCTTAAGGACTGAGCCACCCAGGCGCCTCTGGAAGGTTTATTTTGATAATTACCTTCAGGGGCTATAGACTCGTGACCTTGAAACAATGAAGGCTGGTTATGTGAAGCTACTTTGGTTAGACCGCGGGTGAGAATGGTGTGTTTGTTCACTTAACGTTGGAATACTTGTGCCGCGGCAAGTTACATTTGCTCACCTGCCTTGCGGTAAATAACCTGTTGGCTACAACATCGCTGATTTTATTGTAACAAACCATCCAGAATAAAAGAACAGTACTTTTTTTTTTTTAACCCATGGAAACATTATTTGAAAGCCTGTGTCTCTGCACAAGGCTCCTGGAAATAATCATTAAGTAAGTGCTTCTCGTGGATTAAAACACTTCTCATCTCTATTTGGTACAACGACCCTGAGAAGTAGATATTGGCCACGCCTGATTCAGAGATGAGGCAATCCCGGCTCAGGCTGGTTCAGGGACCTGCCCTAAGTCACAGAGCTACAGAGAACAGAAGCTGGGATCTGCACCCAGGTTTGCCAGGCTCCCGAGGCTACACATTTTACACAGAGCCAGAGCCCTGCTGGCCTCCTGTTCCCTGGGCTCAGACCTGACGGCGAGCAACAAACACTTCCTGCCAAGGGAAGGAAGCCTGGGGTCTGGGAAGCTGGGAGCCAAGGTGGGAACAGAGGGAGGGCCGGACTCGGTACCTGCAGCAGGGCCAGGACCCACGTGAAACGGATGCGACAGCAGCGGAGAGAAGAGCGGGAAACAAAGACGCCAGCCTGGTAGAGCATTTGGTACCTTCGATGGGGGCAGGAAGGGTGGAAGAAGCCCCTGTGGGTGGCCACTCAGCAGGGTGGCCCCGGCCGCCCCAAGGCCCTGGCATCAAGGGGCCCTCCCAGCCCCCTGCCCGTCCTGCTACCCAGCCTCTCTCCCTTCTTACCAGCGATACTGCTGAGCGTGACTCAGGGACGTGTTCCGGAAGAACAGAAGCTCAAACTGCAGCCAAGGGCAGACAGGGCGGATGGTCAGAGACCTTCGAGGCCCCCACCTCGACCACTACTTCCTCCCCCCTCCAGCAGCCCTCACTCACAAGCCCCTGATTGATGAAATACTCCGCAAAGTAAACCAGGACCAAGGGGACGATGTACCGCAGCAGGCCCTGGAAGAGTCCGAAGACATTAAGTGGAAGGCTGGCAGGTGGGCACTGGCCACGGAGGCACCCGCCACAGCCACCGTCCATACCTTGAACACAGTCCACCTTTCCTGAAGGGAGAGTCTTGAGCTGGAGTCTGCAGGGGAGCAGGGAGGGAAGGGCAGGTGAGGTTGGCACACCCACTCAGCAGAGGGGTGCTGGTGGGCAAGGACCAACCACATTCACACTCTGTGTGAATGCACTTAAATGCCACGGGATTGTACAACTAAAAATGGTTAAGGGGCGTCTGGGTGGTTCAGTCGGGTGAGCGTCCGACTCTTGATTTCAGCTCATGTCATGCTCTCGGGGTTGTGAGATTGAATCCTGTGTCGGGCTCTGTGCTTAAGATTTTCTCTCTCCAGGAGCCTGGGTGGCTCAGTCGTTAAGTGTCTGCCTTTGGCTCAGGTCATGATCCTGGAGTCCTGGGATCGGGTCCCGCATCGGGCTCCCTGCTCAGCGGGGAGTCTGCTTCTCCCTCTCCCACTCCCGATCCCCCTGCTTGTGTTCCCTCTCTCGCTGTGTCTCTCTCCGTCAAATAAATAGAATCTTTAAAAAAAAAAAAAAAGATTTTCTCTCTCCCTCTGCCTCTTTAAAAAAATGGTTAAATTGGTAAACTTCACGTTAGGTATATTTTACCACAATTAAAAATAAAAAGGAATTAACTGGTGGGATCTCTCCATGGCTCTTGTGCAGTTTGATAGCTACACATCTCCAACCCAGCCACACTGGCCCCTTCCTTCTGCTTCTTGAACATCCAAGCTCCTTCCCATCGCTGGCTCTTAGCACTTGCTGTCCACTCGGCCTGCAACCTGACTCCGTCACTCAAAGTTCAGCCCAATGACCCCTCCTCAAAAAGGCCTTCATAGACCACCTCCTCTAGGTGGGACTCTTTTCTATTCCCCCCAGTTCCTAGCAGCAATCCCCGCTTTATGTCCGGCCAGCACTTACCAAGGCTCGAAAATAACATGTTTCCGATTCAGCTACTTGTTTAATGAATCTGCCCCCTTTCTTCATCTCGGCCACCTAGTACCCACAGTGATCATCAGCACATGGTAAATATTCACGGAGCATTTTTTTTCTTTTTTTAAGATTTATTTATTTGAGAGAGAAAGAGGGAGAACGTGGATGGGGGAGGGGCCGAGGGAGAGGGAGACAGAGAATCTCAAGCAGACTCCACACTTAGCGTGGAGCCCAATGCAGGGCTCGATCCCATGACCCTGAGATGGTGACCTGAGACGCAATCAAGAGCCAGACGCTTAACTGACTGAGCCACCCAGGCGCCCCAGTGCATAGTTCTTGAATAGATGAATGCCGTTGGTTCTTACCATAACCAGCACTGCCATCCACCTCCCCTCCGGACTGTGTCCACCATAGAGAGGAAAGGCTAACACCCGTCCAGAGAGAGAGTGACGGCTCCGAGGGACTCCTGGGTCTCCTACCTGGCTTCAACTCTGCGGCCTCACTGCCAATCAGGGGCTGTCGCACTGATGTCTCTGCCTCTTCCTCCCCTCCAGGGTCCTGGGGCTCGGGAGATGTGAGCAAAAAGAAATAGCTAGGAGCAGGTGGGATGAAGATGAGATCGAAGAGCCTCTGTCGGGCTGGAGAGGCCACTCCCTCCCAGGGCAGCCCCCCATCATTTCCACACTCCTCGCAGGCCCCCCTGATCCTGTGCCGGAGACCTCTAACTGAGGAAAGGTGCTTCCTTCCTTAGAGTTGAAATTTGTCTCCTTGTTGTTTCTACCCATGGGCCCTTGTTTGGATTTCTGGCTCACACCAAGCAAGTCAGCTCTGTTTTCTTGTCATTGTTACTCTTCTTTTTTAAAGATTTTATTTATTTATTTGACAGAGAGAGACACAGTGAGAGAGGGAACACAAGCAGGGCGAGTGGGAGAGGGAGAAGCAGGCTTCCCGCCAAGCAGGGAGCCTGATGCGGGATTCGATCCCAGGATCCTGGGATCATGACCTGAGCCGAAGGCAGACGCTTAACTGACTGAGCCACCCAGGCGCCCCTTGTCATTGTTATGCTAATGATAATTACGTGTTCATCCTATGCTGGGCTAGAACTTTCAGTCTCTTCTATAGAGACCAGGTCTATACTCAGGTATGTCCACACTCCTCCTATATAAATTGTTTGCTTATTATTTTCCTTTAAATCGATTCACTTTTTCTACAGGGCCTTGCCCTAAGCAATAATCTGTGAAATCACAGGTTTGATTGGCTAGTTAACATTTTTTCCCAATACCCTCAAAATTAATCAAAGAAAGTCCACCCCTGTCCCCTTCAATCATCTCGGGATCCACACCGTACCAGATGCTTCACACACATCATTTCAAGGTGTCCCACAGTACACAGCCAACAGGTAGCAGCTCCAAAACTCAAACCAGGCCTCTCCGAGTCCAGAACCCACATCCCCTCTTTACGAGGCTGCTGGGATCTGAAGATCGGGAGCATGATCTAGTTCTCTCCTTGAATCCCTCATCCTCCCAGCCCCCGCAGCCTACCTGGCCAGCAGCAGGGCAGGGATACCCAGCATGGACAGCAGGGTGTGCTGCGGGGAGAGGCCAGCCTGGGTGAGGCCCAGGTAGGACAATGCTCCCAGCAGCCCTGCTCCCCCAGTCCCTGAGGACCACCAGGAGATCACAGCCCTGAGAAGAACACAAGAAATGAGGAAGGACCAAAGCCAGCACCAGGGGGTCCTCTCCCCCGCTCCCGGCTCTGCCTGCTTACCTGGGGTAGAAGGCAGTGAGCGAGAGGAAGGTGACCTCCCCCAGACCTGACGAGATGCTAGCCAAGACCACACCTGGGGGGAGGACAAGCATGGCAGTGGCCACACCTGGCCTCCCTATAGCCCCGATCCCCTGAGGTGTCTGGCCATGGCCTCCTCTGCATCGGCTCAGAGCAGCGAAAAACAGATCCCCTGGACAGGGGGGCTTCAGATCTGAAGGAGAACCAACCCGCTGCCCTGCATGCCCTCTCATAGGGAACAGGACCTCCATCTACCCAGTTATCAACTCTGGAGCAAGAACTCATCCTTGACGCCTCAGCTGCCCCCGGCACGGCGTCTTGGTGACTCTGCTCATCTTGAGCTCCATATACTCCATCCATTTCCTCCTATCTCTGCCCCCCACCCCCGACCCCAACCACCACCCATCCTCGAAAATGACCTCATCTCCCATCTCCTACTTGTGACAGTCCCAGTAGGCTCCTGAGGGTTACAAAAACCCATCCCTTTCCTCTCAGAAGTTGGGGAGACTACCCCACAATGCTCTGTTTTGGTTCCTGGGTTCCCCAGCTGACACAAAACCTCACACTCACCACATAGGCTGGTCCCCACTGAATGAGAAAAGGCAACCAGGATGAAGCTCCCAGCGGCACAAATCCCACTGACGAGAACCCGGGGGCTGAGGGCAAGAGGTTGGGAGGGAAGAGGAAGGTCAGCCTCCACCCGCAACTCCCCAACCCTCTCCCACCACTTCTGTAGCCCTCCCAGCCTCCCCGCTCTTCAGGCCCCACCTGACCTTCCTCCCACCACCCCCACTCAGACCTGTAGGGTAGCAGATGCAGACCAAGAGGAGCCAGCAATTTGATGACGAGGGTGGGGAGGATATCTGCCAGGAGCACGGCCTGGAACAGAACAGAGTGAGACCCCAGACGGTCCCAGGGACAAGCCTCCCAACCAAGTGGTCGAGGGAAGACAGACACCAGCCAGGTCGACCTGCTACAGACATAGGCTCTGAAGTCAGACAGATCTGGGCTCAAATCCCAGCTCTGCTGCTCCTTAGCTTTGTGTCCAGAGCTTCAGATCCCTCATCTGGAAAATGGGGGGTGGTTACAGCGCTTAGCTCATAGGACTGACATGAGCCAATGCAGGCTACACACGGAAAAGGCTCAGGAAATGGTCTTAATTATTATAATCACGATGGTCGCAGCTGGGTGCTGAGGGATGGGGCGGGGGTCAGGGGGGACCAGAGGGGTACTCACAGCCGTGGAGACAGAATTGCAGTCAAATCGAGATGAGCTATTGTGGGGGGTGGGCGGTGGGTCTGGGTCCACCTGATGACAGAGGAAAATCTTTCACCCAGGGAGGCAAGAGGAGACACAACCTGGCTCCAGTCCCAGCTCAGGCCTAACTTGAGGGATGGCCTTGGGTCAACACTAGCCTCTTGGGACCTGAGTTTCTCTACGTGCACAATGGGGAGGGTGAGGTTACCGTAGAAAGCTCAAACTAAGGACCCAAAGGCCAAAGATGGCCCCGTAAATGGGCTCTACTTGGGTGACACATTCAGGAGATTTCATTTTTAAAAATTTGGGCTTCCAAATTTTTACTTTCTGTCTAGAACAATGTACAGGTAGGAGAGTGAGTTGTAATGCTCCCCAAATGCCTTATTTTCTCTGATATAAATATTTTATAAGGACCTCTTCCAGTGGATGCTTGGGTGTGGTTGCCACATCCATTTTAGGGAGTGGGTGTATATGCAGTAGAGCTACAGTCTGGAAATGGGTCTCTCTCCCCTGAGAATGGGAAAGGAGATTCAGTTAGAGATCTGGGAGGGTGGGGTTAAACCAAACCCCCGATGTGACCCTTTCTTCTTCCCCCTACTCCTCTTAGGCCCCTAGGAGGACATCCAGTTTTTTAAAGCCCTGTGGCTCCAAGCCTGGTCTCATCTGTTTCCCTGCCAGGCTCATGTGTGGACCACCCGTGCAACCCCTGACCTGAGGATTCCAACTGTTTTACGTAGACACGCGAATATGTAAATGCCAACATTTTAAATAATTTGATAAAGTCTTTGTAGCTACTCAGCCAAGAAAAAAAAAATGGTTTCCAGAAAAGCTGACCTTGGACCAAATTCCCTGTTGGACTTGCAAGGTGGTGGCTGCGCTCCTTCGGCATGTACTCCCCCCGCCCCCACACTGCCCCCAGCTCATCACAGACAAGAGGGTCTCAACTGGAGGTGATTATACCCCCCAGGGAACATTTGGCAATGTCTGGAGACATTCTTGTCTCAACTACAGAACAGGGGGTATGCTGCTGGTAGAGAACAGGGGTGCTGCTAAGCACCGTACAATGCACAGGAAAGCCTCACAACAAAGAATTCTCCGGCTTAAAATTAACAGCACTGGGGTTAAGAAACGCTGTCATAGGCCATGGCCCCACCCAGCCAACATCTAAGTTTGTACACGTGGCACCAATTGATTCTTAAAAACCCTCCCTGTTCTGCGGTCTGGGAGACTGGGAACTTTAGTTCCCTTGGCCCACCCCTTGGCCACCCCATACCATGAGTTTTTCAAAGGGGTCCCTGCTCTAGGGTGAGTCCCTCATCTTTCCATAAGGACTAAACATGGTGATGGAGGTAGAGAGGGTCACTTACATGGCTCTGGTTCCCAGATGCCCTCTGGTGGCTAAGGATGTCATGGGCCGCACTGAGCATCACCACATAAGAGAAGTTGTTGCAAAGGCCCAGGAGCCTGGAGTGAGCAAGATAGATTTTTTTTCCCCTTCCGTTTTATTGAGATATAACTGACATATAAGAACAGATCTTAACCTCCTTCCAGGCTTACAATCTACTCACAGTCCTAGCACCAAATCTCCCCTTCCTATGGCCTTCAATCAGCTCCCTGTTCTTCTCTCTCACCAGACCCCATCTCCATTTCAATGTTAGGGCTAGAAATACAGGCTTTGGGACGACAGACTTGGGCTCACATCTCGTCTCCCCCAGGAAGAGAAGAAAGTCATCCTTGACGACTCTCTCCTCCAAGCTCCCACCATGGTTCAGTTCCTGGGGCATTTCTCATCCACTGATCCACTGTCTCTGAAGTGCTGCGGAACAGTAGAAAGCTCCCGGGGCTTGAAGCCCAAAGGACTGTGTTCAGGTTCCAAGCCTGCTGCTTCCTATTTGAGAGGCCTTGGGCTACTCATGTGTAAATGGGGACACAGGTTTTCCTTCTCACTACCTCACAGGGTCTGCGGGGATTAAAAGAAGATCCTACCAAAGCCCTTTATGACCCATGAAGGATTCTTTTTTGCTTACTCTCATTTCCCAGAGCTGCACTCAGTGATGGGAAAGGAACTGGGCCCGGTGCCAGAGATTTCATGTGCTCTTTTCACAAGCCTACGAAGTGGTCCCACCATTCTTCCCATTTTGCTGCAGTCAACCAGAGAGGCTCAGAGAGGTGACAGAACTCTTCCAGAGTCACATGGGAAGTCACTTCCAACCCAGTGTGCCACCTAAGCCCTCAATGTTCAGATCAGCGTTAGAAGGATTTCCCAAGGCTCAATACTGGAATGATTTCAGGAGGTAGATGGATGGCCTTTCAAAAAGTGGGGATGTGTTTATTAAAATGTTCATTAGGAAAAACATTGGCTTCCCATCTAGAGTAATGATTTAAAGTTTTCTTCTAAAAAAAAAAAACCACGTATTTACAAATTTGATAGTAGGATCTTGCCCAAACGTGAAGGTGGGAAGTAAATGAGTGAAGTCTTGGAGGTTTATACGCTGCCTCAGGGCAAACCAACTGGTTCAGTAAATATTTGTGAATTCAGCTCCCTTTTCGCAGTTCAACTCTTTCTTCCCTTTTTCCTGCTGTTGCTTCCCAACTCTTCCCACCCCATTTTTTACTTCTGCTGAACTCTTCGGGCCACTCACCAGAAACCCATCATGTTCCTCCAAAGGGCGCCCCGACGGTCCAGCAGAGGGGGCAGAGGTTCCGGGGTGGTCTCCTCCCCTGAGAAGGCGAGAAGAGAGCATGACTCCCACCCCACTCGCAGGTGCACGAGGGCCCCACGGGTGTCCGCCCGGGGCCGAGCCAGAGCCTGAGCCCCGAATCAGGTGGGTCGCGGGGCAGGGGCTGTCACTCTCAGGAGGGTGGGCGGGAATACGCACCCTCGGAATCCAAAAGGCGCCGCCGCGAGCCCGCACAGCCTCCCATGGCATCAAGTTCAGGTCCCGCGAAAGATTCAAAGTGAGCGAGCGTCCAGAATTGGCTCCGACCGGGCGGGTGAAGGTCTGCGACAGATGAGAAGGATCAACGCCCCACTGCAGGTCCCAGCTCCGGCTTCTCCGCTGCACTCGCGCGGGGCGACCCACCACGTTACCCCGGAGCTCCATCTCGCGCCCTCGCACCCCCCCACCACGCCCCACCCGTGGGACTCTGCCCCAGCCCCCTTTAAAGCAGGGGGCTCCGCGGTCTGTACCTTTAAGAGCAGCTGCAAGTCCGGCCCCGAGGTACCGCAGGTTGGCGGGTCACGTGACAGCACCAGCGGTGCCCTCATCACGTGCTTGGAGGTCACCACAACTTCCGGGTCCTCTCTCTGTCTTGGCTTCAGGCTTTCCCAGCCTCGGGGTGGGGGACAGAGAGAGGCCGGAAGAACCCTGGAACCGCTGGTTTAAAACTGGAGTGGGCAGGATCAGCAAGAAGAGCCGTGACGTTAAACTAGCGGCGCTCAAGGTGTTGGCCCTATCGTGCCAGCCCTAGTCATGGCAGTGAGCGGCTTCAGCTCCTTTCGCCGCCTTCAATTGCCAGAAATAAATATGGCCACCTGGCCACTCTAATCCCCGTTTCTGGCTGGGAACAAAGACAGCCAGCTTCAGGGCATATCTTATTCCTCGCTGTTGCCCTTAGATAGCTTTGAGAACTGAAAATCAAGATAACTTTCACTTAAGAGGATTTCTGTCTATTGGCAATATCCAAAGCATTAAAGAGATCACTTTCCCCTAATTATCCCAGAACCAAAGAACAGCACAGAAATAGTCCAACCCCTGGTTTTACAGATAAGAAAACAAAAAAAAGGAAAGTTGGTGGTGATGATACAAGGTTAGCCCTAAAGCTGACCTTAGAGACCCTTTTAACAATAGGGAATAGAGCACCAGAGGCAGGTGTGCTTGGCTCAGCAGGCTGCGGCAGAATTCCTGCCTGCATCAAGAATGCTTAGACCAGATGATTCTAAGGTCCAAGATTCTCATTCTGTGATCTCATCTAGTTCCTCTAATTGGAAATTTGGAAAGGGGGGATCAGGGAGGGGATTGCGGGAAGAGGTGTAGAACAAAGTCATTTCACATAGTCCAAAATAAGAAGTGATTATTCTCTTACCTTCCTCTAGGTGGTAAAGCAGCATCCTGAATTTTCTTCAGTGCGTCCTTCCCCTGCTAATCTGTTCTATGGGCTTCCACCAGCTGGTGCCCACCTCTACCAGTTCTTTCTCACCACCAAGTCCTCAGATTGCTGTTTGAAATGTACCCCCTTTGGTCGGCTTCCCAGGTTACTCAACCAGTGAAAAATGGTGTCCTACTACCCGTGTGGGACAAACTGAGCAACATGTCATACATGGCCTGTGCCTTCAAGGAACTCACAGGAGGGTGGGAGGTAGACACAAATAACCACAATACAAAGCTTAGCCAAGTTTTGTTTCGCAAGAGTGACTACAGATGAGGGAATGGGCACTGGAGCCACCAATCCAGCCCCTTCTTCCCCTCGAGGAAGCATTAATGACCCTGAAATGAGAAGCCAAAGCTCTTACCAGCCCCTCTTCTCTCCTACTCCTTGTCCCTAGGCAAAAGAGGAACCACAAACCCCAGCTTCCTCTCACAGAGTGGCTGTGGCTTAGGGGGAGCCGGAAATGGCTGAGGTGTGAATACAAGACCTGAGTCACTTGAGCTGCAGTTGCCACACGCCCCCACCCCCCGTCCCCAATTCTGAGGTCTCCTGCTCCCACGTTTTTCTTTATGGCCTCCCCCCTTGCCCTTCAGCTCCAAATATGCACCTGAGTCCCCTGTGTGATGCACACCCATTTCCCAGCCAGGGCTGGAAGCTGCTCTGTGCATTGCAGAGGGTGGGCAGGGCCTGAACAGGGGATGCGTCAGGGAGACACAGGGGAAGAGGAAGTGTCTTGGGCCCGGGGAAGACTGGCTTGTCTCGGTGGGTGGGGACGGTCATTTGTCAGCTTTCTGGACACACAGACAGAGACAGACAGGATGGATTTCCTCCGGCTACATCTCCCTGGGCTGCATCAGGCCTTGCGGGGAGCACTGGTGAGAGGGGCAAAGAGATGCCAGAGACTTTCACCCTGCTCCCTGGGGCCTCACCTTCCCTCCTCCCTTTGAGACTCTCCTCAGACTTGACATCCCTTTCCCAGGACCAGGTAGCCTCTTAGCCTGATCGTTTCTGGATTTCAATCCCCATACCTCCATAGACACATCCATCTACCCCTAATCTAGCCCTTTCTTCTTCCTTCTGCAAATCCAATTCTCTTTCCCCTCCCAGATCCCAGAACCCCTCTTCTGTGGCCCGAGTTCCTCTGGGTTAGGGTCCCAAGAAGGAGGGCTGGGGGAGAGGGCCTCCCCTTAATGCCTTTGTCCCCTCCCCCCCTTCTCTTTTAGGATTCCCTCAGCTCCTTTGTCTCCTACCTTATGGGAGATGAGGTCCCCACTGCAGAGAGGAAGGAGGCGAGGGCAGCCGAGGAGCTGGGGGAGGTGGCTGCAGGAAGGCCAGGCAAGCCTGAAGAGAAGGAAGCCCAGGAGGCCCTGGAGGGCCTTGGAGGCAGCCAAAACCAGGAGGCTGGAGGGCTGAGAGGGCCCGGGGAGGCTGGAAGACGCCAGGACGGAAGTTCAGCAACAGAACAGACCTGGGGTTGGGAAGAAGGCAGCTCCCATGGGTCTCAGGCAGACAGGCAGGACACTGGGGTCTGGGAGGCAGTCAAGGCTGCCAGGTGCCAGGAGCCAAGGGCCCACTTAGAGGCCAGAAAGGAGTCCAAGGCAGGGTCTGAGGCTGTTCGAGACAACAGCAGTCAAGCCCGGGAGAGTCAAGGGCCCAATGAGCAGGAAGTGAACAGAGAGGAGACACCGAGAACCTGGGAACAGGAGGAGGAGGCGGAAGAGGTCAGGGAAAGAAAGCCAGAGGTGGCCAGGAAGGCGGAGTCAGAGTGGACCTGGCACCGGGAGCCTGAGGGGGAGGTAGGTGCTGATGGGCAAAAGGTAGCAGGGGACAGCAGGGGGTCATTAGAGCAAACGGTCAAGGAGGCAGTTGCAGAGGAGATCCAGGGGTCCGGAACCAAAGAGGCCGGGAAGGAAGAAGAGGTGATGGTGGTCCTAAGGGGTAGCCCAAGCACAAGGGCACGGGAAGCATGGGAGTCAGGGACAGAATCTGAGGACGGGACAGCCTCAGGCAGGGAGGAAGCCAGGACAGTCTCAGACAGGGAGGAGGACGGGTCAGCCTCAGGCGGAGTGGAGGACGGGTCAGCCTCAGGCGGAGTGGAGGACGGGACAGCCTCAGACAGGGAGGAAGCAAGGACAGTCTCAGGCAGAGTGGAGGACGGCACAGTATCAGGCGGAGTGGAGGACGGGTCAGCCTCAGGCGGAGTGGAGGACGGGACAGCCTCAGGCGGAGTGGAGGACGGGTCAGCCTCAGGCGGAGTGGA